AGATAGATAGATAGATAGATAGATAGATAGATAGATAGATAGATAGATAGATAGACTATATCAGCTGTTTTCTACCTAGGTCCAGCCTTCTGGAAGGACGTGAGCGCCACGTGTGATGCACAACGCCAATCTCCCATCAACCTGTACGAGGGAGATGCGGTCCAAAACCCTTTCACGCCCTTCACCTTCACTAACTACGACGCTACCTCCGGCTTCAATGCCACTCTGAAAAACAATGGCTATGGTGGTGAGTAGAGAAGATAGAAACGATGACACGGGGTGAGAAGTTTAAATTTTAGTCTTACGGCACTTGTAAAACAATAAGGTCATATAAGTGCCAAAGATTTAAAGATATTAGAGGTTAACAAGAAAAAAAAACACAAGAAAGAAGGAGGTGAAATAAGGACGATAGAAATTTGGTACAAAAGAAGGAGCTAACCACACCAGAGCAACCCCACTTGGAGAGAGAAGAAAAGTAGATGGAATCCATTTGGGTGGGAGGAGGCCTGAGAAGATAAGATAGGAGATAAGACAGACAGAGAGGAGAGGGAATAGTAGCTGGGACGACAGGAATTCGATTGGGGAGGGGGTGTAGAGATGAGTTAGGGGCTGGAACGGCCTTTGATCAGGTGAAATGGGATGGAATGATCGGTTGGGGGTGGGGAGGGGGAGGAGGCGGGGGTGGTAGAGATAGAATGGACCCCCAAAATGGGATGGCTTCAATCGGATAATCCCGGTGAAGACTGCGGTTGGAAGAAGGGCTATTCCATGGTAACTGACGCGACATTTTGATTATAATTTCTTACAATGATAACACAGTTATTCAATATCATTTAATCTATTCCAAATTTAAATTATCAGAACATTTGAAAGACATATTAAAAATCAAATCATAGTAAATATAGTCATTTGAAAAAAAAGTACTTTATGCAAATTCTGTGACGTGTTTGGTTTCGGGAACTGACGGGAAATTTTTTTAATGCCTTATTTGTCCCGTCAGTTACCGTGGAATAACCCAGAGGTAATTAAAACATGAAAATGAACACACCGTATTACTTGTACAGTACACCAACAGGAATCTTAACCATTCCCATTTCAAAGGGAAAAAAAAACAACATATAGGGAATATTTGTGCGTGGAGTACACGTACGAGTGTCATTATTTACAACGAGCGATTGTCCTTATGTTTTGCAGTTCCTTGTACTTTTACTCCTGTCCATTCTTATTTACACCATTGCTGCAACGCAAGACGGAGTGAAGTGGAGGTCTATGATCGCCCACGCCAGTCGGCAAGGCACCGGATGATGATGATCATGATGATGATTCTTATTTAATACACAGCTTTCTGAATGTCTCGTTTGTTTTTAGATCGACAATAGATTCACAATGACACGTGTAAAATGATGGAACTTGAACATTCAGCGGTTCTCTAGAGAACAGTACTACCCTACCAGTATCCTGTTGAAGCCTCAGACATGTTCCCAGACAAAGCAAAACATCATTTCCTATTACAGTCTCTGTACATCGCGTTTCCAGGTGTACTCTTTAGTGTCCAAAGTCAGCGGTACTCAGTTGGACCTGGGAATCCAAAAATTCATAAAATTCAAAGAAGGTCGAAACGATGGTACCGGAAGAAAGGATAAAGAGATGAAATTCGTTGGGTTGAGATGGGTTGTAAGGAGATAAAATATGTGATAAGACAGGCAGGGATGAAGTGAGAGAAAGGAGGTGGGATGGCTTGCATCAGTGACGAGTTTCATGAGGTGTGACACCGTGTGTCAAGTGAAGGATCTTTATCCTATTTACACTGAATCTCGGAAAGGATATTTGACCTTCAGTAAAGTCGCATTCTTTTCTTTATTTGAAGGATAGCAATACGCGACTATCAAACTGCACGCCTTATGTCCTGGAAGGACTGCAAACGAAAATATAGTAATGGAGTCAATATGACAAGTGTGAACCCTCCTTATATAATCACTCGATTTATACTTGATACAGAAGAGTTTACACTCACGTGTAATAGATAAGGAGTGATTTGACATTTAAAACAAGTAGAGAAGCTTTCATAGTATTGCACCGTCATTGTGTGGCATCGTGATGAAATCAGGCGCCCATCAAAACAATTTAATTTAAAAAACCGACATTTTTTTAGACAGTCGGGCAATTTTATTGATTTTAAAATAATATTTGGCCTTATATCTTTTATGTTCACTCATAAACATACTTCTGTATAAATAAAACTGAAAAGGGTTGATGAAAGTCATAAAAATGAAAATTTTTCAGCAGTTTTCAGGGATACTCAATCTTTGGCTGTCATCAAACTTTGACTGCCATGTTCTAGCATATTTCATCTCTGGCACTAGGCTATCCTTACTTCCTCCAGTTGCAAATATCTCAACTTCTATCCAAGATTAATGGGTATAGTTTTCATCAAAAGCAAGAAAAAGGAACACGCTTTAAGATAGCACCAATAACTTTATATCCATCAAAAATTGACGAGCATCTAATGTCACCACCTCATGACACAATAGTTTCTCTATCAGATATTTTGACAAGGCAAGTGATTCTCCAGTTTACCAAGACTCACCTGTTGACATCCAATTTTAAACTTGAGAGGACTCAACTCCTAGACCATGATTTTAAAACATAAATGCGAGGCATTTCAGTGAAATCTAGCTCTCGTCAAAATAATGAAAAGGAAGAAAGCCGGCTTTCTTTTCGCAAGTTAAGCAATATTTATCAATATTTTTGGTTTTTGGCTCCTTACCTTTTTCTATTTAAAAACTTATTTCTGTGTGGATTTTACTGAAAATTGTTGCTTTAAGGCACATGAAATTAGAATGTTCAGTTTCCAAGGATTCTCAGGCTACAGGAGTCGCCATACTTTTGTAGCCATTTTCTCGATAACTATTTTTCTACTGGAACCTTGCAACCCCACCCCCTTCAATGGCATATATTTCGAATTCTGTTCTAACATAGGTAGGTATTTTTTCCACTGAAAGCAAGGCAAATTGATAAACTTTCAGATGATACCAAGGCCAAAAATTAACGAGTGCCTGATTCCACCGCACAGCGTTGTGACACAAATGTAGGTGTTTTACACGATTTAGATCGTTCAAAAGGTGGATTTCGACCCTTCTCGTCATGGATTACTCTGACTGATAGGGATGTAACATCCCAGCGAAAAGACCGAGATACTCGATACAAATTCTCCCCACCACTCGAGAATGGAACTGGGGTCTCTTGCGTACTACTGCAAAACACCTAACGGCTACACATCAGACGTCAGTACAATGTTTTAGGTCTCACATCATACTGCAAGTACACGAGAGAGCACATAATGATTATCCCAAACTGACATTTATTGATAGAAGCGAAAGGAAAGAATACACAATTAGTATACAGCAATCGTGTCACTAAGTTTTAACTTTTCGTGTTCAGTTAAGGTAGACTACAGCGGTGCTACTGAGCTGACAATGCAGGGCGGAGGATTTACAGACACCTTTAAAGTGGCCCAGTTTCATTTCCACTGGGGCAGGACATCCGTACAGGGATCAGAGCATCTCATCAGCTCACAGGCTTTCCCGATGGAGGTGAGTTCGTTTAGTTTTAGTAAGAGGCACACTATTGTTCAAACGCGATAAAATCAAAGAGGTGCCGAAGATTAGAGGCGCTGCAAGAGAGTAATAAACACAAAAACAGAAGGAAGAGAGATCAGAACGATAGAGGTTTGAGAGGAAAGAAGGAGCAAACCACACCAGAGCAGAGCACCCGCCAACCACCTGCAGGAGGTGAATTCAAACTTTCAATGTGGTTTGATCTATTTTTGGGGCAAAATATTATACTGCTGCCAATATGCTTTTTATTCTGTTTGTTTTTGTTCCGGTTTGTGTGATATCCCTAGAGCTACAATTTAATTGACACCTCGGCCCAACACTGAAACTGGTGATTACAACTTGACAATTTCCCTCCTAGGATAAATCATGATCTACCACCACAATTGATGTATCAAATTATTTATCTTATTAATGCCACTATAACTGAATTATGGTTTTAAACCTACTGCTGTTGTGCCCATTTCATTTCGCTGGTAAACATTCTTGGAGACCTCTTCTTTCCACTTCACGTCACAAGTCATGGCCTGACCTGACCTGACCATCAATGAGTTATTTATAGAAGCACCAACCACCCATCTGTAGGTGTTGCTTCAGCCTCTTTCTAATGTATGAGAATTTTAAAAGTTATTTTCTTTAATTTGATTTTACTTTCACGCTCCCTGTTTTCACGTCCCCAGCTCCATATCGTCCATTACAACTCGAAGTACTCTGACCTTGGGGAGGCCCTCAAACATGCTGACGGGGTGGCAGTATTAGGATTCATGTATGAGGTCAGTCTCTGTCAGTATCTGTCTCTCTCTCCCTCTACCCCCACCCCCCTCTCTCTCTCTCTCTCTCTCTCTCTCTCTCTCTCTCTCTCTCTCTCTCTCTCTTTCTCTTTCTCTCTCTCTCCATCTCTGTGTCTGTCTATCTCTGTCGTCTCTGTCTCTCTCAGTCTGTCTCTGTCTCTCTGCCTGTCTGTCTCCCTGTGTCTCTCTCCCTCTGTCTGTCTCTCTATTTCTCTCTCTCCCTCTCTGTATATATATTATTTATATATGTTATATACATACATTTCACTTTCTCTCTATTTCTTTCTCTCTCTCTCTCTCTCTCTCTCTCTCTCTCTCTCACACACACACACACACACACACACACACACACACACACACACACACACACTCACTCACTCACTCCCCCTTACATTGATAGAGGTATACAGGTATACATACATTACGGACCTGAAAAAAACATGAAGATGTATTCAGCCAATCATCGTTAATTAAACAAGAAGTCTTCTTGTTTTGGGGGGAATACAACTGTGAGAAAGGAGGGTACATAAAAGTGATACACTAGTGTTGGAGAGGTGATCCATTTAACTGCTCAGATGACAGTCGAAACATATTTACTTGCGTTTTTCTAAAACAATATTGACTTTAAAATCGCTGAAGGAAAACATAGCCGTAGACCTTTTGCCCAAACTACGCTATTTTGCAACCCCAGACCGTTGAAGAGGACTCAGGGCAAGAGACAGACTTTTGTGTGGCATCTCCATATGTTGACGACTGTGAGGAGAGGCGGACTGTTGTAAGAACCGGTGTGGGCGAATAAATTCGTCTTTTTCTTGCAGCCGTGTGCTTAAAGTGGTGTGCTCACGATGAGATTATTGAATCATGATCTCTGCGTCTTATATGGCGTCATCCGACAGTGAAATAAGGCTGAAATGTGACTGCTTCCTTTTTTTAAATCTAGAATTACGATGCCAAATAACGTCAAGGCATCCACAAGTTCTTTCGATACCTAAGAACCCCTCCCCCTCCCCTACCAAAAAATAAATAAATAAAAAAAACTCTCCTTCCCTGGTCAGCCAAAGTAAGTATTTATAGAATAAAACAAATTGTAATTAAATAGGTTTCGACACCAGATATTTCTTAACGCAACTCCAAACTGTACACAAATGTTTCTTAATTGTGTATTCCTACTGCCTAGCGCTTGCCTAACAGTATCTGGAAGGGCTGGATCTGACTTCAAGAACGTAATGAACACGTTTGTAACAGATTCCAAGTCACGCAAAAAAACAACAACAAAAAACTGTTAAGAGAGCTGTATTAAGATCGTCCTGAGAGTTCATGGGGCATTTTTCGAATCTGCTTTTCACAGTTGAGCATTCAAATCTGGTGATGATCCAGACAATTCGTAATCTCCTCTTCCTAAAAAAAATCCTTAATGACTGCTTTCAACGGGCCTTTGTCATACAGGGGCGTTGTCCCCTACACACTATGTACGTTTACTGGATTTTTAAGAATAGGAATATCTCGTTCAAAGGGCAAATTTAGTCGATAGTAGCCTCTAACCCAAGGCTAACCTCTGGCTTTGATTACCCTTATCGTTCATTTTGATGTGAACATTTAAAAGACGTCAGGGCAACACGTTGCCCTCGACACTTTTTCATCTTTTGAGCAGTCCAGAATGACATTAACGTTGTGTGCCCAAATCCAATTATTTTGTAAAGTAGTCTTTTCTCTAAATTTGTACATGAACAACTCATTTGATTGGGCTAGAAAAATAATATCTTAAAAATTCTGTCACTGAGAAAGTCACCGATCTATAATTATCGGTCTAGGACATTTTTAGGACAGCTTTGAGACAGTTGTTTGATGGAAAGTCTTTGCACCTGTTGAATAAGAAAGTTGTACATACTTGATTTGTGTCTTCTTTCTCCCCTTTTTTTGCTTAATTGGAAATCTAAAGGTTTATATGATATCTTTTGTCTCTTGCAACAAATTCTCTCTTGTTTCATGGGGTCTGCATTCCCTCATAACACAACTGAATGGATCACGAGCCAGTTTTTTCACCAACCTTTCAGACCTATCAGTATATTTCGGTACTCAAGATTCTTTGGCAATTCTACATTTATTTAATGTGGTTGCCATTAACCTGCAGATCCAACGCTTGGTTTCGTCTTTGGAAAATCACCTCGTTCCAAAAATGGAAATACCAAACGTTAAATAAAACCCTTCCGAAAAACCATAGAGCCATAAAACTTTGAGTTTGTGATTGCAAACAAGTAAGCTTAATTTTTTTTTTTTTATTTAATTGTATGATTGCATTTTGCGGCTCCCAAATTTGGATGGCCGCGGGAGGGGAGCAAGATCCTGTAAGTCATTTGTACCTCGGAATTTGAAACGGAGTATCTTGGGACTTAAAATATCGTAACTTGTGTACACCAACACACGTTTCCTTCCTCAGGCGTTGACCTTTAACCCTCACAAATCTTGACAGATAATGTTACCACACCAATAACGACAACGTTTAAACTGTGAAAAAATAGTTTGTATTCACTAGCCCACTTACCCTCTCTGGATTGAGCGCTCTCCTTCTTCCTCGCCCTGACAGTGCATAAAACGATTCAGCACCGACGTGACAAAAGGTCCCCAAAATGACAAAATAATTTAAATCCATCGAAACGAAAAAGACGCAGAGAACGTATATCGTTCCGTATTTCAAACGATCAATGCAAACGGTACTAGACAAGAACGGCAAAAAACCTCAACAAAAACAGGCTACTTAGTCAATCGAAAAAACAACGACTTTTACATTTTAGTATGAGTTTTTGGCGCTCGCAACTGCACAAGGTCGTATGAGCGTTCTTTTAATTTTAAAGCCTTTAGAAAAAAGTCTTTGAAATCGTTGAATCATTCAACAATAACAAAAGAATTAATTAATCAATTGCTATACTGCATCTTCATCATGAGCTGAGGGGGGGGGGTACTGGTGCCTTTCGTCTCGGTGCTGTTTCTTGTGAATACATTTCTTGCTTGACGTTATTGTTCTTTTGACTAAATGAGCCTGCAACTTGTTCACATATAATATACACTTTCTGTAGCTTATTTATTGCACAAAGCAAATTATTTCTCCGAAAGCACGAGAAAGCACAGAAAACTTGTTTGAAAAGAAAAATATTGACAAGATATCATAACGGGAAAAGCTGAGACACTTTGAACCACATTTTTGATGCACTCGAATGATTTCATACTAAAATGGTGCATCTTCTGGTATTAAATTATGCGTGTAGTCGTTTTGCCTGGCAAAAGGAGTAAAATTGTTCTTTAAAATAACTTGTGTTACTGTTTATTAAAAGGAGAAACTTAAAACTTTGCCCAATCTCATTACCCCCAGTTTGTAGGAAAATGGTGTGTGATTGTATAATAATATATCACACTGTCACTAAACCATTGTAAATCTTTAGGGTAGAAGTAGGACTAAATTCGATGTATACTAATGATTCTTTGACATCGTAATACCTTGTAATTAACAAAACATTGTTTCTGGAGCATGATTTCATACTTAGATATATCATGACGTATCACAACATGGCATAGCAGTCATCAACAGTTTATAGCCTACAGCGGGGCCTTACATAGTAAGAACTACGTGATCAGTCTCTTTGAAAAATAGAGGTGTGGCTAGGCCCTATTTTGTTACTCTTTCTCTTCTATCAATTTCCCCTCTTGCTTCTTGGAGTAGAGAATTTTATTGTGATTACCAGTTTCGATTATCATTCTTTCTAAAATATTATGGCTTCACTGCTGTTTTACACCAAAATGGGAACAGCGTGAATGGTACACTTAAATTTACATCAATGTCTCACCTCGGTCCAAGGTTGATAGATAGATAGATAGATACATACATACATACATACATACATACATACATACATACATACATACATACATA